CGATCAGCTTCAGCTGCCACCTTCCTATTGGTCTCTGGGATCGGACTGGATTACGGTAAGTGCTCTTCCCCGTGATTGGGTGATGACCTGTTTAGGGTCGAACTTCAGTAGGCTGCAGAGACATTTGATCGGATAGTCGCAAATCGTTTCGGTCCTTTCAGGCTCTGATGAAGGCGGTCTCGCCGAAACGTGCGTAAGCCGAATAAACTGCTGTATCAACCTCGCGAAGAGTTTCCACAGAAGAATTTCTACAGTGCCTCACAACAGCTTTGTAAGGTGATGAAAACACAGTCACAAACTTCGTGCCCAAGGTTCCAACATTACCTAACCTGGAGGGTCTTCTGGATTTCAAGATTTCTGCTAGAGTATCCTACATGAACAATGGTTTACCTAATAGGAAAGAAAATTTCTTAGTGAAGCCTTAGTTCCTGAGAATCCTGAGGGCATTATCCTCATGGTCAGCAGGGCCAATAAAGGAACTATTATATTTTGTTTGACAGTACGCAAGAGCTGCTCAGTGTGGATGGCAAAATATATAAACTAGGACAGCAACAAAAGGAATCCACTGGAATATTAGGAACCACTGGAGAGGGAGTAATCAAAAAATTTCATGTACAGCAAGAGCAGTGTAGTGCTGTGAACTGTGTTCTTCACAAGCAATTGTCCATTTTTGTTTGCAGTTCAAATAAGTGTTTCAGTGTCATAATGCCGAAGTCAGAACCTACAAGCATTTGATGAAAGTTCCTGCGGAGAGCATTCGTATCCCGAAGGTTTGTAAAATTTTCACGAATAATTTGTCATGCCACTTCCAGTTTGTCTAAACATCCGCACTGATGTCATTTTAATTTTGTGGTTCCCGAGGTTAACAAGTGAAATGTCTGTTGGGATGGACCAACGCTCAGGCTGAACGTTCTTATCCGAGGGTGAGGGTGGTTTAAAGTTTGGTTCTACACTGACTTCACTTCAACTCTCACGGGTTCTACACTGATGCCTTTTCTCACGGATTTGACACTAATGCCTTATCTTTTCTACGAGGGCGTTATTTTCCTCAAAGCAACCATATCGTAGACATCCTTCCCTGTTCGAGTAGTCTGATCTGCAATCTCTGATATTGTGCCAAATTGCGGCTCCACAGTGGAAAACGAATGTTTCGCCTCCCTCATGAATTGCACTTCTGATCCTTACGTAGTTGCCACCGCCCAACAAAACGTCCTCTTTACGCGTGACGGCAAGCGCTCAATAGTCCTTTTGCGAAGCGGCAGGCATAAATCCGGTGCAGCTGTGTCGAACAGTCCATCGGGCGGCGGCGGTTCTTGTATCCCTATTTGAAATGAGGGAATGGACCATTCCATCTCCATCAATCCGCTTCCACACCGTGTCTTCCTTCTTTCACTATTAAATGGTATTAAGCACTGGATGACGCAAAATGAAAACGATCAGTAAGCCAGAGGGGTAAGGGTATAATTTTGCTTGCGTGAAACGAGCAGGTACGTGGAACTCGTACAGTGAGCTGTCCATATTGACTTGTTCTCGATGATTTTTGCTTTTTTTTCTTGGAAAGTCACTTGGTATATATCTCAAACGCAACTTTTCGCAATATGCAATCAGTGGGTTCTTCGTAAAACGTGTCATTTCTGTAAAACGGGAGACACTACACGGAAGATGTGATTCGCTATCGAATAACATCAATTTCGTTTGAGCGATTGCGTAGCGCCGAGCGGTTGTGCGGTTACAGATGTGAAAGTAGTCCCCTATCAGCTTGAAGTTCAGGATGAATAAGATACGCATTCGGTATACGCAGTGGACAATAACATGCTTATCAGACATCGATGCTAGACCAAGGCTCTCTGATACGGAGAACTTTTCACAACTGTCTCGGAATGGAATATCCCACCAGAGAATAGCTAATCGAATCAAATATGGAATTGTGCATCACATGGGTTCGGTATACATGCTAACTAAAACAATATCCCTTCGTTCGAAGACCTGCAACATCAATGGAATCGGATGCATATCATCTTCCGGGGCCGCACTGGTCAGTAGCTATTCACTCAACGGGCACTTCAACCTACCATATCTTGTGCAGTTGGGTGGTGCGCAGATAATGCCTTTTCCACGCTTAAAAAACTGAAAGCGATTTGCATCCTTTTGCCACGGTTTTCCTTCGAGTTTCCCGACACAAAGTCAGCACTAGAGGAGATAGGGCACTTGGTGGAGTGGAGTAGAATATAGTTTCCGAACTATGCTAGACTCTGAACGAGACTGAACTAACCACGAAAGGTGTAAGGACACGTCCAAATGCAATGTCGGATGATAGGCATGAACTGTGCATATGCCTTGTTGCGAATTTGGAGTATACTCACCGAGTTCTTGGCTCATACTTTCCACCCATTCAAGATCCACCAAATCCGGGAGAATGGCTTTGAGATGCTCCCCGCTCTCAGCACTATGGAAACTTCCCGAATTCGAACTAGCACAACCATGTCAGGGTGAGAAGAAAAGGTTTATCCCAATGATTGTTTCGATGTTAGTGAGCTAGATAGTGAGCATTGTACATCACTGCGTTAATATTGTTGAATCCGGTAGTAAGGAAGTAATGAATTAGATCGAGTTAAAGTATTCCACAAGATTTTGGTACTTTACTACTTAACCTCTAACTCTTCAGATTTACTATATGAAGATGTTCACAGAGTGGAATCCTGTGAAAGGATACATAATCATGGAATACCTTGACAACCTGAAGGCAGTGCATCTCTTTGAAACCGTTACACCAGAGGAAGTGAAGCAGGTATGTATATGATACCGTTCATCGCTTGAACCATGAACTCGAGAAAACTACTCTCTAAAGAATTAAGATTCTGCGACACAAAGCCGCAATGGAGGCGAGTTCACTCGACACGCTCGCAGAAGAGAGAAATGAGTACACGCAACCTTTCAAAGCCCTCTTCGCAGCGTTATTCGAGGAAAAGGTATATCTTGCAAGTAGTTGTTGATGATGAGTGCCGGAGCTTACTTCTAATTATACTTTGGTGGGGTTCTCGAGAAATCAGCCTTACCGCTCCATTTCCTAGAGCTATTCAGATGCTGGATCAAATGCTGACTGTGTTTTCTAAATTCGAAGGCGGGAAGTTTGCTGAGAGCGGGGAGCATCTCAAAGCAATTATCCCGGATTTGGTGGATCTTGATTGGGTGGAAAATATGTGCCAAGAACTCGGTGAGTATACTCCAGTATTCGCAAGACACTGCATATTCACATATGTTCATTAAACATTACGCTTGTGCGCAGTGCTAAAATACTAGAAAACTCAGCTGAGGAGAAAAAAAACTTGCTTGCTCGCTCAAAGGCCGACGCTAAGTTGTCATAGGGGCTTTCTACAAAGCCCGAAACGTGTCAAATAATTTTCTTCAACCGAATGTGTAAATTCAGCTTTAATACCCTCACGTCTCGGCAGTATCGCTGAAAAAGACGGAGCATTCATGACTACCCGGCTAAACGTCTCCACGAACTCACTGATGTTTGAGATCAATGCAGTACATCACATAATCGTGAAAAGGGCCACTTACGGCAACCAAGCCGACAGTGGAACTGCTTCGGAAAGTTCCTCATTCAGTGCCACTATTGCAAAGCACACTCTTCGGAGGTTATATCTCTGCGGTTCCCTTTTAGATTGCTAACATAAATCCAAAAAGCCTCAAGGGTTTTCCGTGCGAATGTGTGCCTTCTCATTCGTGCCAGTAAGAATAGCGTACAAAAATGTAATATAAAGTATAATAATGAGATCCGGATCTGTCAGTCATCACAGCACCGAGGACTACTTCGGAGCGAATATTCGTGGTGCACTGCCATATGAGAGTCTTTCTTAACAT